TTTGAGATTGCTGGGATGATTGTTTGTCTTGGGGATTGTTGAACTCTCGTGGAGTTGTTAGCCTTTTGTTGATGAGGGATAGTATTGGATGTTGATGCAACAAGAGTGGCTTGTTTATTTGCTTGATTATGTTGATTTGCTTTTTGCTCCGTGTTCTTCCTCCTTGGTGAGTTTTGAATAGTGTATAAGTTCCTCTTCTTTGAGTTTACACCAGCTAGGAGGAGGGGGCTATTTTTCCTCTGTGTTTTAGGGGTGGCCTGCCCCTTTTCTTTTTTATTGGGGGATCTGTTTCCACTGGCTTTGGGTTTTGAGGTTGGGGTAGGTCTTCTGATTCACCATGTGTCTCCTGCATTGTTATCTGTTGATTCAGAGCAACTGTTGCTGCTATGATGTTTGCAGCTGTTTTTTTCCATAAGGTTTTCTGATTCTCCCTCCATAACCCTTTGTTTTCTTGCAGCACTTTCATGAGGATTTGGACAATACATGTACTGTACTGTGACCTATCTCAGTTCCTCCATAACTTCCTCTGTTGTAGGCACCACAAGCAGGTGGGAGAAGCTCTCTTTATCCAGGTTCCTTTCAAGGGGTGGTCTCCTGCTCTGTGTGGATTCAGGTGTGGCTACTTTTCTACTATCTATGGCCAACGCTTTTTCCTTCCATTGGAGGTGAGGTGATCTGTAACCCGATGGCTTCTCCCTCTGTTGTTGGTATCTTCTTTCCTCTCTATCTCCTCTTGAGTCCCTCAGTGATTCATCTCTAGACCATCTTTGAGAGTAAGATGTTCTCTCATCTCTCATGTTTTGAATGAAATGTTGGTAATCAGTTCTTTGACTATCTATAGATTTGTTGTAATGAGTTCTTCCTCTGTGCAGGTTTTTTGAGGAGATTCTTTCACCATATAGATTTATGTATCTGTCTGTGGGTCTGCCCTTAGGAGCTTTTCCTCTCTCTTGGTTCTTCGAGGAGATTCTTTTGCCGAATGGGTTCCCATGTCTGTCATATCTTCTTGAGTAATCTTCTAACCCGTATTTATTGGGAGGATTCTGGTTAGTCATCCCATCTGCATGTAACTCCTTTGTTTTGTGGATTGGCGGAGAGCTTCCTTGTTGTAAGTTAATCCTATTTTCCTTCTTT